TGAGGGAGTGATAGCCCATGGGAGCACTGATGGATGTAATCCAATCCCTTCTCACACACTTTGCTAGGACTCTGTCCCAGTATGACTTCAAGTATGTCCCCCTCCCCAAGGAGCTTGCTGTCTTAGGCTCATCCCAAGCTCCGAGTCTCCTTTTCCCTTTACTAACTTTTCTTCTAAGACACTGTGTGATCACTTCCCTGTACAGCTCTGTCCTCTACCTTCACTCCCTCAGTGAATATGCTCCAAGCCACAGTAAAGTCATCTCTCATTGGGCACTGAATCACTTTTACCTTCACACTCTCAAGGCACATCTAGTCCCCAGAAGGGTTTGAGAGCAAAGGGATTAATTCTGGCTGAACTATGAAAAAATCCTCAGCTGAACCATGGGGCCACCAGCACTGAGAGCTGGTGGTTGTTGGATGTAAGGCAGAAGTAAGATCTCTGCTGCCTGTTTGTTCTGTGGGCTGCAGGCCCCAGCTGTGGGCCAGAACTGATCTGCCTGAAGCTAGCACCAACTCCCTGGGGTGAGCTGCACATCCCTCATTCCCTGCATAAAAGAATTCTGGGAGCAGCTGGAACACTCAGCTCATGAGGATCATCGTTGCTGGGGACCCATGGGCCCATGTGATGCCTGCACATTGGGGCTGACCTGGCACTTGGGAGAAATTGTGAGACACACCTGGCCTTTGGGGCCACAGTGTGGTCACCCTGGTCTCCAGTGATCATGTAAGTAAAGCTTGGCTGAGGAGAGAACAGGCCTTGACTGGAAAGTCCCACTGCTCTGTAAACACAAACAAATCAGCCCCCATCACCTGCTTCCCTTCTTTATCTGTACATGTAATTTAAAACACCCTCCAGCCTCCCAAAGTCAAGCTTCAGCTGCTTCCCATCCCCTTAAGCCCCTTTAGTTCCTCTCCCCCCCCTAACCTGGCTGCTTTTCCAGAGCCAACCATCACTGCAGAGACAAGTTGCTCTTCTCTCCCACTCTCTGATCCTTTCTGTCCTGGGTGAATGTGGTGGGAACCACCCACAGCGTGTTTTCGTGCATGCGTTTCTGCAACCACCCCTCCCCCCCACCTAGTTTTTTAAGTTAAACTATCTCTTGCTTTAAAGAGAGCAAATACACAGCAGTGGCTTTCATCACTGCTGTATAATAGAGCAGTAATTCTGTGCCAGGGACTGTTTTCTATTTTATTTTAAAGGGTTTATAAAACAGTGTATGTAATTGAGTGAGTAAACTGAACGTTTTCTGGAGCCCCTGAGGGCTGAAACTTCGTGGTGGTCCTGGGCCTAGGCCCTAACCCTTTTTTTTTTCCTCTCTTTTTTTTTTCTCCCTTTCCCCTCCTTCCCCTCCTCCTTTACAACCCAGCGTTGCCACCAGCAGCAGCAGCAGCAATCTGTCTGGGGCTAATTGAGCAAACAACAAGGAGATGCTTTCACATGGCTTTTAAAGGAATGCTCCGGCATCCCCTTTCTGTGAGTGGCTTGGCAGGAACCTGCCAGGAAGGCTGGGGAGCGCTGGGTCCCCGGCCCCCAGCCTGCTGGTGGGGTTTGTGCTGGGCTGCGCAGTCATTTCCGCCCCTCTGTTTATTTGCATTACAATTTGTTTTTAGCCAAGCACCAAAAGCTGCTCTGCTCTCTAGCTCGCCTTGTGCGTATGTTTTTAAGGGGCTAGCGTACAGTATGTGTAAACAAATGTCTTCCCAAGCAGGAACGCATATATAACGAGTGACAGGTTTTGGATTTACACTCAGTAAAGTCTCCGTGGACACTCGGTTCAAGCACCCAGGCAGACTTCAGGCTGGGCTGCGTCAGCAAGTTGAAGCAAAGTGCTAATCAGGAGGTTGAATGTGTTGATCAGCTCTGGCTTTGCTTAGCACCAGATGCTCCCAATCTGAGAAGATCTAGTTGAACATGATTTAAGGTTGAAGAGTCCAACTCTGAAGGCTTTCTCAAAGTCCTTTCTCTAATCTGTCTTCTTTCTCTGTGGGCTGAATGCATCTGTAACCCTGCCAGTGTCAGATAAAAGGCAGCCTGGTAAGAAATCCGTAATGGGGAGCTGGGGAAGGAGAAAGGGAGCTGAACAGCAAAGCATGTGAGGTACTTCTCCCTCCTCCCCCAGAGTTTCAGGCAGAGTTTCTGCAGGAACTGAGCTTGCTGGTACCAGCCAGAGCCACTGGCAACTGGCAGCCACGTCTGATAATGAAACACTATCCATAGCTCAGCTCTCTGGCACACACACTGGAGTCTGAATTCCCTTCACTCCTCAAGAAGGGCTTTGGGAATGGAAGAGGGAAGCAGGGTGAATCCTTATCTGCCTTCCACATCCCCTTGGGGTGCGGCATGGGGCTTTGTTTCTAGCAAAACCATTCCCTTTATCGCTTGAAAACTTTCTCGCGGATTTTCGACAGGCAGGTTCATGTGTTTTCTTTAAGCCTTTACAAGAAGAAATCCGTTTGGTGATTTCGTGTGAGTCTGAGGTAGCAGTGACATATCATGTGTGCCTGCTTTGAGGAATCTGGGCCACAGGGATCAAGGAGGAGATGAAACAGGCAGAGGGATGAGAGATGAGGGAATACAGGCTCCAATTTCCCGTGCGGCTTTGGCTGCTTAAGCTCCCTAAACTCACTGCTGCCTCAGTTTCCCCATCTGTAAAACAGAAATGCTCTTACTCACCCATTCTCAAAAAGCATTTTGAACTCATCAGGTGTAAAATACAAGACACCATAAGGTGTATGCTTCATGCATGTCAGTGCAAAATACAAATAAGTCTGTACCACCTCTGCAGCAAGGTATGTGACAGGACCCATCCCAGCTCTGTGCATTTAGGACCGTGGAGGATGCTGTCTGAAATGAAGCAAGAAGTTCCTTATTAAAAAGTATTGCTACAGATAACCTATATATAGAACCATAAATTGACATGGCTCTCTATAAGCCTAGATGAAGGCATGTTTAATCTGCAGAGGCATAATATAATTACTCTCACTGGATGGTAGCCAGGGTCTTATTCACATCATAGAAATCAACATGATAGATAGTCTGCTTGGAGGAGGTTCAGGAATGGAGTCACAGGAGTTGCTACAGGGCCTGTTGAGATATATTGGGAAAGTTGTTGGGGGTGAGGAATGTTATAGCAAGAAATGCTGCAGGTTGGATTTGAGGTGCCTTGGCAAGGCTGTGTGGGGTCCAGGACGGGAGGAGAGAGGCGCTGAAGGCTGGACTTGGGGCTATTGGCAAGAGCTATCCTGGAGAAGTTGTGTGGTGCTACCTACATCATGCTTGCACCTGGCACTTGTACAGTCAGCCCCTCATTTTCCTGTGCATTGCATCCACCTCTGCTCATCCTGCCCAAAGTGCTGGAGACTGAGCACCAGGATGTTAATGTGAGGCTCCAGGACTAATTACCAGTTTACAATAAATACCCTGAGCAAAGAGCTAAATGTCTCAATCTGATGCTGCAGGTGAGAAGCAGCCCCTTGGTCTCCTTATTTTAGCCTTCACAAAGGGTCTCTGGAAGGAAGTGGTGTGGCTCACTCATTCTGTCTCTCAGGCTGAGAAGATTGCATATGATCCACATGGTTCTGGGGTTGAGGTTGTAGTGAGAAATTATCTTGCCACAGGGCAGAAGTTTATAGAGCACAATTTGATCAGACCTTTTGCTGGAGCAATGGTTTGCACGGTACAAAGGTTGCATCTTGATTTTAAACCAAGAGAAGCACCATGTTGGCCCAGCCACTTTGGGGATTGCCAGGAATTTCTTCCTTTAGCCAAAGATGGCATATTTGTTGTTTTGCAGCAATCTTGCAAGATCCACTCCCCTGAGGGGAGGAGTTTTAGGTAGGTAAATAAAACACAACTCATCATTTCCATCATCCTTGGCTATCTACCCCCACTGCTGTGTAAGGTGTGGGAAACACCAGAGCCTCCACTGGTGTATCCCAGCCCCTCACAGGCCTTGACACTTTATCCCAGGCTCCAGAGACAATTGTTATTCCTAATTGCAGGAGGTAAGATGAAGAGCCTAGGGGCATGGGACACATCACCTGAGCTGTACCTGAATAGATGTCCAGCTCCTGGAGCGCAGTTTAGATTCACCACCTCCCCCACAGTACCCTGAGGACACCCACTTTGAGCACACCAGCTTTGTGTCATGCTCTGAGGCCACATGCTTGGGTTTTTTAGGCACTGGGCTTTCAGTTGCATGTTTTTATTATTTTGGCTTTAGATCCTTTATTTGCAGTCCTTCCCTGACAAGCTGCTTTTGCATTTTAAAGGGAAGGTTCTTTCAGTACAGTGCATTAACAGTGCTGGGGCAGGGACTGGCACATTAATGTGTCCACTGGGGCTGTGCAAAGCTCCTGGGAACAGGCAAAGGGGTGACCTTGCAGAAATTGCCCCTCCAACAAATTTGCTCCACAGGAGGGTCAAGTTTAAATAACAAAAAAAAAAAAAAAAAACCACCCACAAAAAAACTCTTGTTTTTAAGCTGCCATGGCTGAGTTGAGATTGCTGAGAGGATCTCACACTGCCTTGGTGATGGCCCCCTGGTGCTGAGCAGCCCTTTTTCCCCCAGCATCCAAGCACTTTAGGGTAGACAGTGCTCTTTAAGGCCAGGGTGGATTACTGATCTTTAATTTTATGTCTAATCTCCATGTTAGATGTTGATGGTTCCTTGCCTTGACCTAGGTGTACACCTGTCAGTAGCAGCTGTGACTTCCCTAGGGCCTCTCTTGTTTATTAGTGATACATACACGTGAAAACTCTCATTAGAGAAATCTCCTGATGTTTAGTCAGTTGTTTAGGCTTTCACCATGTGTGTGGGATACTGTTGGAGAAATGCTGTCGGATACTGTTGGAGAGACGATTCAGCAGATCTCTGTTTGAGTTCCCCAGAATCTGCTTTTCTCATTTGTTTTAAAGTTGCAGATTTGAAAAATGCAAGGTCTGAAGCTCTGCTGCAAAACTCAATTGCTCTTCTTTTCCTCCCTCTCTCTTTTCAGCCAAACATGTTAATGAAGTCATTGTGGGCACCGAACAGCTGATGGAGATATAACCCCGAGTAGCTTTTAAAGATGATTTTATGGAAGCCAGCAGCAGAACCAGATGTTCAAGCATCGTAAGATCATCCGTACAGATCAGTACTGGCATGGTTTACCCTGTCATTGCTCCTTTCCTGTTCAGCTTTATATTTATGTCTTAATAAAGAAGTATTTGCAGAGCAGAGTGTCCGTGGGCCCCTCCCCCCTCATTGGGATGCGTGCGGGTTTGTGCCGGGTTATATCGGTCCCTGCGCCCGGCCAGCGCACTGTACTTTTCCAGCAGAAGGGAGAGCAGGGACCACACAGACTGTGCCCACTCCAAAGAATGACTTAGCCACCCTCCCTGCGGTGTAAATCACATCCCTGCAGTCCTGCATCACCGTCCCTGAGCCTGGGAGAAACTGCTCAGGATGCTGCTTGCGCATCTCATCAACACAGCGGGCGGACAGTGAGAGCAGCGGCTGTGCCGGCTGCTCTTTGCAGCCCGGCAGCTTCGCCAGCCTCCTCCTCCTCCTCCTCCTCACTGTCTCTCATGATGCTGCCTCATAGCTCAGAAGTGTTTAATCTTTGCCTCTTCTCCTCTGTAATGCAGTCAAAGAGTTTGGCACCCATTTCCATCAGGGCTGAGTTTGGTCTGATACTTTGAAATTCTGCCCAAGAGCAAGCATGTGAGAGCTGGTGGACATGAAGGAGGCATGAGGTGTAAACAGTGGGTACTCCCTGCCTTATTTTGATGGTTCTTCCTGTCAGTCCACTATTCCTGATCCCAGACAAGAGGTCTCTCCCCACACTTGGATGATCTGTGGATGACTGTACCTATGTCTCTGAGATGAGTCGCTCGTGTTAATGTGAAACGCACAGCCTTGTGGTCAGGGCCTGTGCCAGGATTGTAAAGCACCTGGATGGGATTGAAACACAAGCTGTTCTTTAATGTTTATAAATTGGACACAAGTTCCTACCTAAAAGCTGTTTATTAGAATGTAGTAGGATTGAAATGGGACATTTATCTGCCCCTGGCAGTTTGACATCCAGAGGTGCTTACAGCAACTGGCAGGGGTGGTATTTCATTAACTGAAGTGATAAATGTTAAATGTGTGCTTCATGGGCATCTGTGACCCCTGAGGAGAGTTACCATTTCCTAGTTAATTTGACAGGAGAGAGATTATAATCCAGACATTCCCTGAGTTTCATAAACAAAGTCCTCCTTCTAAAGGACCAGATTGGAATGGAAACTATGGGTAAGGATGAGCTTCAAGGCCTGTGACAAGCTGCAGAGAAGAAATGCACTGCAGTTCAGACCCAGCTTTGTACTGGAGGTTTTGTCTCATGTATGTGTGCAAACATGTTCCTAAGGTACGAAGCCTTTTTCATCCAAGGATCGCAGAGGTTTTACAGAGGTTAATTAAAGAGAGTTCTTGTCTCTGTGTGCGGCAAGGGAGAGAGGCTCCATTTTGGGTGTGTAGAAACAGAAGCAGAGCGGAGTGTAATTACCTGGCTTTGCATTTTACCAGAAGGCTGGCAAAGCCTTGAGAGGTTTGCAGGGACTTTGACTCACAGTCCTTTTGCTGAAACACAAAGCCTTCTCCCCCTCTGTTTTTAGGATACATCTTCAGAAAAGTCTGCATTGCCTTGTTTAGCAGCTACAGCTTTGCCTCCTTGTGTCTTAATTATATGTTAAAGTCTCAGTCCTTTTGTTTAGCTAATTTAAGAGGAGGGCGGGGGGCTCTTTACTGTGTCGGTTAGAATTTAGCATTAATTTAGTGTTCTCTGACACTTGAAAACCTGGCTAGGATTTGAGGCATTTTCTTTTCCTTTTCGCCTTTTACGACCTGCAGGTGTTTGGTGTGAGATAAAAGTAGATCCCAAAGTGAGATTTCACAGCACAAATTATCAAAGTGAAGATTCACTCTTGATGTAGTCTACGTGTGTGGCAGTAATTATGAAAAATAGTTTGGGATAATAGGGCCTTCAGGAATCCCAAGACAGGCACGGGGAGGTTAACCCTTCCTCATCTAACCTGGCCTCCACGCTGCTGTCATCATCAGGTGAGCATGTGATGGGTTGGGTCAGGCAACTTCACAAACCGGGTGATGTTAGAGTCACTGAGAAAACTGGGGAGGCGACTGAGGACATGGAGATCTGTTCCAGGGTAGTTTTGGATGTGACTGTTTGGTCCCAGGTCACAGGCATTCTGAAAGGTGTTACTAGCACAGGCTGTTCACCAACTTTGAGGAATGGGGACACCTCTCAGACACAAATAAGCTGCTCTGTCACACCAGGCAGCTGAGCATTACAGCTCATGCCCATCACAGTGTTACTGGCATCGAAGTGCTGCTATATAGGCAATATTTCTCTGAAGGAGATGAAAGTTCTCCTGGCTCTTTCTGGACAGACTTGTCCTGGACACTTCTTTGGCAAATGTAACACCAGGGTTGCTGTGAAAAGGTTCTTGCAGTGGCTCGTCACATGCTGGATCTGCATGGGGTAAAGCAGAGGTTTGCCCTGATGGCCAGCAGGACCTCTGGCTTGTGGTCTTCCCTGGGTGGTGTCTTGCCAGCTGCTCCCAGAAGGCTTTTCCTGTGACCTGGGCAGCAGGGTTGGTGTGTGTGCACACCTGGCCACACTTCTTCCTGTGGGTCCTGCCCTGCTGGCACACCATGGCTGGAGCACCTGAAGCTCTGTCCCCTCACTCTGGCTCCCATGAGAAGCTGGGTCCAACCGGCAGCAGCACTACAGCCAGGTCCTTGCCAGGATTTTTGCAGCCAAGCCCATTTGTAAGACACAAATTTGGGAAGAGCATTTGTTGGGCAGTTGCAGATGCCATGGCTCACCTCCCTCAGCAGTTCGTATTTGCTTTTGTAGGTGGCTGTTGGGATCTCTCGAGAAGCAACAGCTCATCTGATCCCTTCTGCAGTCAAACCAAAGCAGATGGCTCCCATCTTCCTGGCAGCCCTGGAAGAAAGCCACATGAGGTGAAGACAAACAGGCAGCCATTCCTAGGAATGGTGGGCTTCCCACCCTCATGGTATTCAAATGGACACAAAAACTTCACATCTAGCTCTGCTCTTGCTTTTAGGACAATTTTTTGGCTTGTGGGCAGGAAGGAGAGAGCAGCAGAGCCTGAGCAGTCATATGGTCTCAGGTACAGAGGTCTGGCTCCCCCGGTCACCTATCCAGGTGACACTGTGTGTGCAGCCCTAGCAGTAGGACTTCCCTGAACCTCTCAGGGTTGGGATCACAAGGACTTGACAATCTTTTATTGCCTTCAGTCTCCAAGATTGATTGTGCAGAGCCATGCTCCTGCTGGCTTCCTTGTTGGTTTCTGCACCCCACTGTCCTTCCTCTGGCTGCCTGGGAAGAGTGCTTTTCACCATGTCCCTGGCCACCTTTTGGACTTCACTTGTCCAGAGATGAGAATTTTCCTAGTAAAACCCCACAGGTCTGCGGAGCACCATTGTTTTCCAGAGGTGCCACTGCCTTCACATTGGCCCAAGTCCCCAGTGAGGGTCAGCAGTGGCTGCTGTGGTCCTGCCCAAGGCAGAGTGAGATCAAACCCCACGTGGGGCTCGCAGAGGAGCCGCCTGTGCCGGCAGCAGTGGTGTGACAGACGCACTTTGCACAGTGTGTGGTGTAATCCAGCCCCAGGACACCGCAGTGCCGCCCTCCCGTCACACACAGCCATTCCTGTGGCCTTTGGCTGTCTGTTTTAAAGGATTGATTATTGCAGCGGGCAGTTGGGGCTGGGATTTGGTATTGCAGGCTGCCCACTGTGCCCCGACCTGGCGCGTCCCAGAGCCATGGGGGAGCACAGAGCACGGGACCCTTCTCACTGGCCACCTGCAGAGTTAATTTGGGGATGTGAAGATGCCCTCACCAGCACCCAGCACCTCTGCAGCAGCCTGCCCACCGAGGCTCACTCCCTCTCAGCCAGGAGGCTGATTTCTGGATCCTGTCGGTTTTCACTCCATCTCCCAGGAGCCAAGGTCCACAGCCGCGCCTGTGCCTCCCAGACGGGCCGGCAGACGGGAACTTCCTTCCAGGTCCTATAGACAGACATTTTATATACGTTAAAATACGTGTGTATATAAATATGGAAAGCAAGAGCTTGGGAGAGTTTGAGTCTAAATAAACTTGTATGTTTTAGGCTTTTAAAATGCTAATGTTGAATTTCAGGGGATGGGGGACGGCAAGGGGATTGTTGGACTGAGGACCAGGACAGCTGATGAGCTTGGATCAGTGCCTTTACAATTCAAGGAAAAATGGGATAGTTTGGGAAGGAAAAAGGGATTTTCTTGTTTTTGTTTTTAGTAGAAAATAAAAGAAGCTGCCTTCTTATTTGCCTCCCTCCCCCAGCGTCGGAGCAGCAAGCGACTGGTGTTGTATGCATAAGCTATTCCTTTGTGCAACATCTAAATGGTTAATTGTGTTTGAGGAAGATGTACGGGCGAATGGAGGGACCACCCAGCAAGAGACAGACAAGAAAGAGCGATCTCTGAAATGTTTAACCAGAGAGAGAGCAAAGTTGTTTAAAAATATTTAATTTACAACATTCCACACTGCTGATTATAAATCGGCCGTCCAAAAACACTGCTGCGTGCGGGGAGGGATCCAGGCAGCATGAAACAAATTCTTGTGATTGTTTTTCCTATCTTCCTCCCTCCTTTCCTTGGGGAGTTTAACCCTGTGGCAGGATGCGGGTTGCCCCAGGCAGGGAAGGCAGCACTGTGGTCTCCAGCGCGAACACCTGCGCACGGGGCCGGGGTGCAGCCGCCTGCTGGCGCTGGGAGAGTTGGAGGGGATGGTGAGGAGCAACCAACTGGCTACACTGGCAGCGGTGATGGTCAGCGGGTAATGGCCTCGCAGCCCCTTCCTTCTGATCTCCACGCCAGCACCAGGGTTCCCCAAAGCATCCAGCTGTGTTCCCAGACAAGAAAAGCCATGAATCCCCTGGTGAGGGGTTGAGAGACTTGAGGAGGCAAACCTGGCCAGTCTGTGCCATCCTTGCAACGTTGCTCACCATGGTGATGGTGGTGCCCTGCTCTTTGGGTTGGCAACTCGGCCGTGTCACCCAGCCATTTCCAGCGGCGCCAGGAAGGACCCAGGCCCTCAGTGGGTCATTGAGCAACAGCAACATCTTCCCCTGCTTGGGCCTTTCTGCAAAGGGGGTGGTTGGTGCCGG